TGTAGTAAAATGTATCTCTGTGATCAGGGCTATCCCCAAAACAAAGAAAACCTCTATCTTGGGCACCACAATGTCCATCAAACAGAGTCAGCAGACCACACCTCTCAATCCATTCCTGCAGCCTAATACAAGTTGACCTAGAACTCCTGGGGGGAAAAAGATACAATCCCATCTGAGCAACTAAAATACAATCCCCGAGATTCAAATCAAAATCCAATGCTCACCCAGATGCCATCTATTCAAATATGTAATGGCACTTATCTGATCACTAAGAAGTACATTTCAGGTAAATTGTTAGCTCCCTCTCACAAGAGATGCCATCAATCATCCATTACACAATCTTCTCCCCAAAACTGAACAAACCCTCCAAATTTTTTTGCTTGTGACAATGATGCTCCAAAACTATAGAAAGAAGCTATGGTCAATAGCCATGGAGAGGAACAATATTACTGAAACTACAGTAGTTCTGATGAATCTGAGTCCTACCTGAACAAAAATAGTATTCTCAGAAGCAGGCAACCACTAGAACCAAGCCTACTTGGCCAAACACAGAATTAACAAACAGAGCCTAATGTCAATGTTTGGAAGTTGGGACTATAAAACAAAGTAACACAAAGCCTGGTGATGCTACATTTAGACAGCAAATATGTCTAACCTTGACCTACGTTTTGCTGCCTTACATTACCAAGTATTACACTGAAATGAATTGTAAAACATATAGTAACCTGGTATGGGCAGCTAAATTTTCATGTTAGCTGTAAGCAAAATATGTTACCTACATCAGTTATAATCACCATACCATACAGCCGGCCAATGTATATACTAGATGAAATTCAAATTGTAAATGGAGAATGTTCTGCCTCCAAACTGCTAACCTGTGTTTTCCTAGGATCCCATAATCTATCTGGTTCAGCCTAGATTGCTCTATTTATTTTAATAGCTGTAACTGCAGGTAGTTGACTTATGACCTCCTCAGAGCTCCTTATAAACCTTTTAAGTTATAATGGACCTCCTCAGAGCTACTTACAACCTGGTTTTAAAATTCTGACAACAGCCTTCCTTACAGCCATGTGATCACATTTTGGGCACTTGCCAACTGGCCCACATTTAGGGGTGTTTCCACCATTTTATAATCACATGACCATGATTTTAACCATATTTTTGTTTGACAGAAACTGGTCTTTAATTCTGGTTTCACACAAAAAACCAGCCATTGGCTGAAATGGATTCATTTAACAATGGCCACATTCACTTACGGATCACAGCATTGCTTAATGACTGCTCAAAATAATCATGAAATCATGTATGACTGCCATGACATAACAAATTCTGAACTCAATTATAATAGTAAGTCAAGGACTAGCTGTACTTTCTTCACAGCTGTTTAAATCCTATAATCTTCTGGCAGTTAGTCAAGTCTGGATGTAACCTAATCCAAAGAGATCCCAAAATGTTCTATTTGATGTCTGGGGATCCTGCTTTATTAAAATATGATTGTTAGATACTAGCATCTATTCACAATAGGAAATCTGCAACTTCTAACCTTATCATTCCTTAAAATCTAATTTATCAATTAATCTTTATATCTGAACTAACCAGCAACTGTTCTCATGAAATCAGACTATACAAATATAGCAACACTATTCATGTAACAAATTCTCAATTTGAACACATAAAAATAGAGGAGGATAGTTATTTTTTCCTGGATTTTTCCTTTAATCAAAAAGCAACTAAACATGGGCATTCAACAGTCTGATACAAGCGTTAAGAGCAGTCCCAAGATAAAAAGTAAAAATCAAATTCAATTTCATTTCATTTCAATTTAATAATTAATTTACCATTTAATACAATACAATAAATTGTATTGTATTAAAGAATAGAGTAATAAAGAATTAAGCAGAAAGGAGTCCAAGACACTTCCTTTTTAAAATCAACAATGTATGTAGCTATATAAATGGAATCATCTTTGAAAATATTTTCATGGGAATGCCCTAGATTCCCAGTCAATACCTAAGATGCTATCTACTGTAGATAACTTCTAGGACCTATTTAAGAAAGACTTAAGTCATCAAGGAAGTCAGTATGTTCTCTAAAATTTCTCCCAATAAAGTTTATCTTCTTTCAGGTAAAAGCAAGAGTAAAGAGCAAAATAAAAGTACTGTTACATCTATGTTCTGGGTTGAATTCTCCCTCTTGGATATCTGTCTTTTTATTTGCTAGCAAAAGCTCCCTTGTCTTGTCATCTTTCGCAAAAGTCATCTGTATCAGGAGGATTTGTCCCACAGTGGTTCTCTTCTTTCTTCAGTAGGTATTCAGATCAAGCTGAACATCACCATTTCAAAAATTTTGCCCAAGTTCTCCTGGAAAACAAATCTTCAACAGCCAAAACTGTTTAGACTTTACTACTAATCTTTATTAGTTATTTTGTCTCTCTTTCTTTCTCCTCCATTCTGCCAAGACTTTTAAGTTTTCATCTTAAAGAGTTTTCATCCAGTGCAACTTTTAGGAACTTCCAAAACATAACATCCAGCTGTAATGTTTAATATCAGACTGGAAAAATGCATACATTTTAAATTGCCAGGTTTATTTATGTTTAAGGTTAACTAAATGTGCCTGTCTTGGACGCACTTACTAATATTTGAAATATCATCACCAGATATTGACAAAAAATTCTTGGTAAGATAAAAGAATATGAATAGACAGCATCACCACCAGAAGGATTTGTAACAGGTTGACTAACTCGACTCAACATGTAGTCCTCAGTGGAATTAGATGTACATGGAGGGAAGCATGAAGTGGGGTACCACAAGGTAGGCCCAATTCTCATCAACATCTTTATAAATGATTTAGATAAGGGGATAGAAGGGGAACTCATCAAATTTGCAGACCACACTAAACTGGGAGAAATAGCCAACACTTTAGAAGATAGGCTCAAGATAGGCAAGAAAAACCAAATGCAAGAGGGATCTAGGAATCCTGGGGAGAACCACTTTAATGGGAGGCAGCAGTGTGCCGCAGCTGCAAAAAAAGTCAATGCAGTCCTAGGCCGTATCAAGATCACATGAAGTGTTAGTATCGCTTTATACTCCACTGATAAGACCGCACATGAAATATTGTGTCCAGTTTTGGCCATCATAATACAAAAAGTGGTTGAGATTCTAGTAAGAATACAGAGATGAGCAACAAAGATTATTAGGGGACTACAGTTTAAACCATACAATGAACATTTGCAGGAACTGGCAATGTCTAATCTAATGAACAGAAGGACTAGGTATGACATGATAGCAGTCTTCCAATATTTGAGGGGCTGTCACAAAGAGATGTTGATCAACCTATTCTCCAAAGCACCCGAGGGCAAGACAAGAAGAAATGGATGAAAGCTTAACAAAGAGAGACCCAATCTAGAATTAAGGAAAAATTTCCTGTTAGTGAGAACAATTAATCAGTGGCTTGCCTTCAGAAGTTGTGGAGGCCTCCATCACTGGAGGTTTTTAAGAATAATGGAGAGCTATTTGTCCAGAATGGTAGAGATTGTCCTGCTTGAGCAGGGGGGTGGACTAGCAGACATTAACCAATTATTTTGATGGATAAAGTACATGTATTGGTTCCACCAAATCTGCAGCTCCAAACATGGCTTAAAATACCTTGAACTTAAAAAGTTACATACTGTAAAATAGTGCATTCTTATAGCAGGGATTTGTAAACCTGGTTCTTCTCTGTATACTGTACACAATGAATTCAAATTAGAGGTAAATATAATAAAGTATGGAAAAGGAGTATTGGCATATTTCTGTTTTAAAATATTTATATTTGAAATATAAATCAAAGTTTAAAAGGCTTGCAGTTATTGTATAGAACAATGCATTCCTATACAATGGAAATACATAATACATATCATCTGTATTTGATAACATTTCTGATCAGTTAAATTAGATTAACTATGTTGTCATATGAACAACAAAAATATCGTTCTGGTAAATTTTGAAAAATTAAGCGACTTCAGCTTTTAGAACATTTTTAAACTCATCTGTACAATTATTTTAGAAGAGGGACAAAGGCATGCTACAATCACCCCAGAACTTGTTAGGTAGCATTTTCTCAATATGCTACTAGTATTAAAACATCCATTGAGGATCAAAAAATAAATTTCAGTAGTGCCATAAGAATAACACAGCATATTTTAACCTAGATGTAGGATTATTTTAATAACCTTTAAAGAAGCCAATAATTTAAGTTTAAAAGTATAAATTACTTCATCTGACAGCTAGACAGACTCCATTGATCAGTCATAGGGTGTGAAGGTCTTTCTAGTATGTGTATTTGTACTGTAATATCTGAATCAAAAGCTCAGAAATGTGGTTCAATCCAACAAAAATTTCAAACCAGCAAGCAACATTTCTCTCAATTATGGCCAGACAGGCCTAATCTACATGAATTTAACCGCACCTTAATTAATTAATAATAATAATAATAATAATAATAATAATAATAATA